AACCTGGAATCAACTCGCCTCCAAACACACAAACCATAAACCCCAAAGCCACAAACCAAAAACCATAAACCCCAAGACCATGAACCCCCAAACCATAAACCCCAAACCCCTAAACCATCAACCGCCCCAAAAAACCAACCGAAAACCAACCCAAAAAAAACACCAACCAAAAACAAACCCCAAAAAACCACCCACCAAAAACAAACCCCAAAAAACCACCCACCAAAACCAAACCCCCAAAAAACCACCAACCAAAAACCAACCCCAAAAAACCACCAACCAAAAACCAACCCCAAAAAACCACCAACCAAAAACCAAACCCAAAAAAACCACCCACCAAAAACAAACCCCAAAAAAACCACCCACCAAAACCAAACCCCAAAAAACCACCAACCAAAACCAAACCCCAAAAAAGCCACCCACCAAAACCAAACCCCAAAAAACCACCAACCAAAAACCAAACCCAAAAAAACCACCCACCAAAAACAAACCCCCAAAAAACCACCCACCAAAACCAAACCCCAAAAAGCCACCAACCAAAACCAAACCCCCAAAAAACCACCCACCAAAACCAAACCCCAAAAAAACACCAACCAAAACCAAACCCAAAAACACCCCAAAAGGCAAAAACCCCCACCCCTGGCCGAACCCGCGCCTCGTCGGAGTGCAGCTGCCAAGGCGCCTGACCCTCGGAGGGCACCCGCTGGCCTGGGACGGCGCTCTCCAACCGCCCCCCCCCCCCCCCCGGCTGAAGCGGCTGCACCGAGTTTAGAGAGCACAGGAAATAACGCAAAGCATATGCCAACGATTTATCCAATGCATTCCGAATATCCTTTTTGGTGATCTTCCAAGCTCAGGGTTGGGACTACATCGAGGAAATCGGAATCACTTTGAGACAAAGTCGCATTCTCCAGTGACTTCGACCCCCCCCCCCGCTGGAGAAGTAGGGCATAACCGTGGTTATAGCTGGTACCCTCACACGAGACACATTCAAATGGAAGCCTGGCACTGGAATTCCTTATGGTTTGGTGGGCTCATTAGGTGGTAACCAGGAGAGACCATCAGAAAGTAGTCTATAAGTGCAATTCCTGGTTGACTTGGATGTTCCACCAACCTCAGGGAAGTAGGGCATAACCATGGTAGCTGGTGCAACTGGGGTATTCGTGCCCTCGTAACCATGGTGACGTAACCTACTTACCTGACGTTGGTTGAACACCCAGGACGAAACCAAAGGAACCCATACCAGGTCAAGCTGTGTCCAAGGACCCTTGGTCCAGAAAAGAATCGATGTTGAGGAACCCCTGCACCCCAAAGACGTGGCACCTCCTACTAGCCTGGCCCTGGAAAGTTTGGGGTGCCCAACTTTCAGCCAAGCCCGTGATCCCCCCGCGCCTCGGGCTACGGCCTGAAGCGGGGTCCGAAGGGGAAGCCACGAGAAAAAATAAATCGAGCGGCCCACTCAGAGGAGCGTCTACCAATTATTCAAAGGGTTGGGTTAAAGGAAAATCTACAGCGAATGGCCCCAACACACCCTAAATAAGCTGTGTTCCTGCAGATTTTCCTGTAACCCAACCCTTCGAACTACTTGGATTTTTGTTTGCCAGCGCTTTGTTCACTTCGCAAACGTAAGAAGTGCCTCGTAGACAGCGCAAATACTGGCCATTGGCTCCAAAATGATTCCCACTTGGGCGTGGGCAAAGAGAAGACTTGATGATCGCTGCGAAAGGGGGTCGTCCAAATCCAACGACCCAAACCAAAAATCCCATGAAGGGGCTCTTGAAGCTTGGCGGAAGCTTGGGACCGGCTAAAACACCAAGACCCAATGTTGCACGCAACAACCTGAATGACTGCGGGGTAAAAAAATAATAATAGATGATATTAAGACATGATTGTATTAATAAATCATTAAATTCAGAAGTGATGAAAGCAATCTATGGAGTAGTGAAAATGGTGTAATGATAATGTGATGAAGATATAGATAAAGAAACAATATGTGTGTTTGTAAGATGCCATAACTAGATAATGTATAGATCGAGAATCAATATAAATCATAAACAATGCGAGAAATATCATAATGGCATAATAATATCAATATATACTAACGTTCATTATTTCTATTAGTATTTAATTAGTCATGGGAGTATGTAATGATTTCAATAAAACAAATCTTAAAACGGTCCAGCCTTTCCCATAAAGACACTGTTCTAGTTCTCTGCACCTCTTCTGTAGAATTATTTTATTTTGGAAATCATTACAGTTACATCTTACATCAGATTCATGTTGTCTTATCACTATTTCTGAATGATTAATATTTGCACATATTATAAGTCTAATCCTTACATGTTGTAATATTTATTGTTGGGCTGGAACGCACTTATCATAGAATTATTGGCTGATATTATCTCATCTTAAGTTGGTGTTGGTTTATAGTTTCATAGTTGGTCCAAATAATGATGAAGAGACTTGACTAAACCATATGATTTCGTATTCATAGCATTGTTTCTGCGTTTTGGAAGTTGTCTAGTTTCTGAAGGCCATCCTTATTTGGGACTTCTGTTCATGTATCTTCTCCAACTTTAGGGATGCGGCCAGGAGAAGCTTTCGATCTTCCAGATCCTTGTGAATTAAAGTTGCTAATACAATGATTGTATCTGATGCTGCTATATCTCTAGGACATGCTTTTATCAATAACAAAATTTCATCAGAATACAATATGTGCTTCACTTTATGGTCATTCCTTTTGTCTTCTCATGTTGCTTTGCAGATTAAATAATTTTGCATTCTCGCATTCTCAAGTAATGGTTCACTGTGTTCTTGTCTTTTCTTTGTTAATTCGTTTCTTACATGTCTTTCATCTATCTATTCGTCTTCTTCTTCCCAATTCTTCTCTTTTGGAGTTGCAATGATGGATGCACGAGTGTGGACCAAAGGAATAGATGTACTGCACTTATAGAAATATACTTATCTTGTTCATTTTATATCTTAAGATCTGCACAAAAACACAAAATCTGTCAAATCATATCTCCTCTACATCTGGTTTTCTAGATGTCTTGGATAGAATCATATTAGAGGAGATATGAATGTGAGACAAAAAGGACATGACTATTAACTCTCCAAACATTACCACATTCCTTTTATCTCTTTCCACAGGTTTTGGTAGTTTTCAAGGGTCTTCAAGTCATCAAGCAACTTTTCGAGTGAGGAAGACTCACTCAGGAAAAGACTCACTCGCGTGTCGGTCTTTCAGCTCAGAGTCTCTGGAGGACCGCAGAATCCCAACCCGACGACTCGTAAGCCAATGCCTCGTCTCGTTTGACAGGATATGCCGAGCGAGGGACATGAAAATTAGCGAGATGCGGGAGCTGTTTTGTAGTTCGCCCTGAGAATTGGCTATGTGGCGAACGACACAGAGATGAAAGGCATCCCCAAATGCAGGAGTGATACAGCATGGCGTTCATCTGTTGCTCCTTGTCTTCTTCATTCACCTGGTTTGTGGGGCACCCGTATTTTGACATAGGAATGTTTCCTCTCAAGGACCCCAAACAAGTGATTCCTATCATTTCCATGGATGAGATTCTGCGAAGAGTTCAGTCAGGGTGGCCATTACTCTAACATCGACCTCGAGATCGACCCATCTGAGCCGCGCTCGCAATCCAATCACGCCCGCTCGGCCAACTGATAGTTTTGCCGGGTCAAAGAGACTCACTTGCTGACCCTCACTTCGGGGATGGAAGAGATACTAATGATCATTGGCCAACAAGCTTCCGTGCCAAATCTCCAGCACACAAATGTTGGCTTTGACTCAGGACATGGCCAAATGGACCATAATCCAAGGTTCAACCTCTCACCAGAAGGCTATTGGGTCCTGAAAATGACCGATGGTTGAAGCGGCCAAACTGAAACTAACCATCTGGAGCCCACCAGAACTCAACTGAGCCGCAATCTAAACCTGGCATTGAGTCTAAATGTTGCAAAGAAACACAAGGGCTTCTTGCCACGGCACTTTATAGTGGGAATGTTCAGGCTCAAATGGAAAACCCCTTGTCCAAACCCCGCTCAAGGCGGCAAACAGACCCCTCCCTGTTGAATTCTTATATAAAACAACCTCAAAACGGGTTGATTTTCCATGAAAGGGGCACCCTGAAAAACGGGGGCGGCCCTTATATTAGGCGGCTTGGACCAAAACGGTTGGGCTGCAATGTGACAGGCTTTTGGGTACATGTCCGGATGCCCCTCCCTTGCTTGGGGTACCATTTTTGGGGAGGTGTTCAGGGGTACAGTCATGAAACTACCCGAGGAAAAGTTGTTCAAAGAAACGACCACCCAGCGATCCAATCGATTGCCTCTACTGCATCGAGCTCCAGGAAGGAGAGGCCTCTACCCAGCACACGGATCACCTGGCGGGGCAGTCGGGAGCCCTTGGGTCGCAACCCGAGTAAGGCTGCACAGGAAATGAAGTGGTCTGGGGCCTAGTATGGGGGGAAACTGGAGCTTGACTGGGGCTCTGAGGTTACCAGAACTTCTCACTTGCCCAGTTTGGACAAGTGGAATGAAAGGTGATCACCATTTGGAACTTGACTCTGGACCAGGGAAAAAGCAAAGGGAACCTAGCTCCCAGACCATCTACGTACCCCTTTTTGCAAAAAATACAGAACTGGACAAGAACCTGCTAAAGAGGCCGAAGGGTACAGCCACACCTTCTGCGTCTTCTGCAAGTGATCATTGCAAGGGCGCCAAGCTCCCTTGAAGATCCAGGGACACACGCTCTCAAGGAGGCTTAAAAGGCAAAGACCGAAAAACTCCAGTTGCCACTAGGTGATCTCCGGGCATGTTCCTTCTAGTATTGCAATGTGCTTAATTTTGGATCTCTGGCTTTGCCGACCTTACTGGTTCGTATTCCTGGTTTCAAACCGTGCACGTTGACGCCGTCGAACATCTGACTCATCGCTCGTCGCGCCTCGCACACCTCCGCGGCAGACTCGACGTGCTTGATGCTGTCATCAATGAAGAGCGCGTCTGCTGCGGACCACTGCCGCTTGGGATCCTGAAGTCGCCGGTTTTGCGTGCACAACCGTTGGGGGTCTGGACAAAAGGAAACATTTGCCCATAGCCTCTTGGCTTCACTTGGAGCAAGTCAACCTTTATGGTTGCACTGCTGCGAGCAAGTCAGCAGCTGTTGCACAAAGGGTGCGCCAACAACACACACCTCGTGGCTGGCCAACAAGCTTTGGTGAAACCCAAGCGAGGCATTAAGGTCTGGGCATAAGGATCCAAGACCTTCCCTGAGGTCATCGTTTGTCGAAGGAGCCCGTCTTCCGTGGACGGCTTGTCAATTTTCGGCCGAGGACATGTTCTCGTGGGCACACTCTTCGACAAAAATGCAGATCCCCGGAAGAGGGGTCCCAGGAAGTGCTTCATGTCTGTGACATCCTCGCCCCAGGAAGTGAAGGCGTCAGGCGTCAGGTCTCTGCGGCCAAAGAGATGCACCCCACGTGTGTCAAAACCCCACGGTAGGGTCCCAAGCCTAAGTACAGGTGCTTGACCACACATGTGAGTATGTGTCAAAGGACACCAATGGCGGTCTTGCTTGGATTTCCCTTTTCGACCTTCAAAAGGGCAACTTCATGCAAAACGCCCTGTTTACTGGTTGTGGCTTGGAACATTCATAACAAACCTTTCGGTTCATATACTGTTCGAGGGTCATTTTACTGCGGCGATGATCTTAACTGCATCGCGCATGCTACAAAAACATAGTACGTTTTAGCATATCAGCTGCTTCAATAGCATCAGCCAAAGTCATTTTGAGCCTCAGAAAACACAGACCCATAGAAGCTCTTGCTCAGGCGGCGGCTGCCATGATGTCGGCCTCGCAAAATGAGTAACAACGCCCGGCGTCGGGCGTTAGATTTGGCCCATTGGCCCAAACTCTTTTTTGAGGGAACCCTCTTTGCATTGGTTTTAAAGGGCAACCAAAGGAAAAGCAGCCATCTTTGGTTTCCTATGTTTCCCCTATGTAAAGGTATCCCCCACATATCCCCTATGTAAAACCAAACGGGAAACCAAGAGAAACCAATGCCATCTTTGGGATCTAAAGACAAACCCTACTGAGTTTGAAGCGGTCAATGCGTGACGCTTCGAATGCTCACAAGGATTCGACATGGCGGTTCCTCCAGATGTGAAGGGCAAAACCATTTTTGGGCGGGAGTTGACGTAGTCAAATATCGGGCATGCGGACATGTGTCAAAAGCTGGCACCTGGAAGCATCGCACCCATTCCTTTCTTCCATGGAGACAGGGTTCCCTGATGCGGGCGTGACTCTGGGGCTTTTTCAGGGGACAACATTGTGACAAATTGTGTTTTTGTCGGTTTGTTGATGTTTATTTCTTTTTTATGTCTGTTTTTTGGTGGGGACGAAGATGTTTGCATACCGGCAAGAATTCACAAACTGGTGACTGCAAGATATCATCTAGATTTCTCTTCTGTTGTGAGGTTGGGGTTAATCAACATTTCGTAGGCATCCGCCCCATACTTTCGCATTCGGAGACTGCAACTTCGGCAATAACTTGAGAAGTGACTAAAATTCCATTGACTCTTGGTTCTACCAACATGGTCAATACGTGCTCGCATAGACCTTACTATAAGCACCATGGACCGTGAAACCAGAACTGGCAAACTGGGGTGTGCGCTGTTCAATCGCCTGAGGTCCGGACGATCAGCCTGGCCATTTGCAGCAGGGGCGGGGGGGGGTTCGCGGCTTTGCTCAGCCGCTTGGGGAGTCCCATAACAGACTCACCTTCCTGAGTGGGTTGGCCAAGACAACACAAACTGTATAATGTAAAGGCCGGATTAATAAAGTAATGGTATAAAACTGGTCCCCAAAGGCTCCCCCAATACTACACAATTTGAAAAACTGGAATGCACCTGTAATAAGTGGTTTTCAACAAAAAAACAAAAAATCATCTTTATTCGACCAGACTCCCACAAAAGACCCCACAGTTCAGAAGCCCTACCCCAAATAAAAAGCTCAAATCCCCAAGAATCGCGTGATACAGCTGCTCTCATTTTGTCCGTGCTGCTGCATCTAAACCTTGTTGGCGTTTGGTTTCCATTGCCAAGCCAACACAAACATCATCAGCCAGAATTCCATGTTATTCCGAAAATGCTTGGCTTTTTTGAAAGTCTTTATCACATCCCTTTCAACAAGTTATGGTTTGAGAAGGTCTCATGAGGTACCCCACATGAGTGCCCAGGCCATGTTGATAATATGGGTCCACATGTAATTAATTTGGGCCATTTGGGCCGCAACAGACTTTGAGCTCCAGCAATACTAAAAGTGAATAGAAACTCAAATCCAACAATACGGAAGCTCAAGTCAAGTTCAAAAGGAAGGTCCAGCAATACCCTACTTTGAGACACACCTATATCTCACTTGCCAAGGCCTGAAAATAAAAGGCTATCTTACCTTTTGGACTCTATGGACCATGGGAAACCCGAAAGGTCAGATCAGGTCGATTCCCTTGAGACTTATCCAGCGGCTCGCAAGCGCTCTCCCTGATGGCGCCTCCCTTTGCTGAAGCCACGATCCTGCAGCGCCCGTGAGTCCTGCCCAAAGACCTCGCGCCGGCGGTCTTTTTCGCGGGTCGCCCAGAACGACGCCTTGATCAGCCTTGTCCTGGGGGGGTAGGGGAAATCCACCCCTCCCCTCCCCACCCACCAGCAAACCAGGAGCGATTTTTGTTGGGGGTGGGAGAAAGAAGCAAAGGGAAACTTGGGAAACACCTCCCAGCAAAATGCCTGTTCTATGAGAAGAATAACTTTGTTTTTGGCGAAATTACTTCCCCCCCTAAAACCCCAACGATGTGGACAAGCCCTCCTGCTGATAGGTCCGTAGCCGCCCCAAAAAGGCACCCCAAGCAACCATAGCTCCCCCTAAGGTTCCTCAAGGCTCACTTAGTTCATGCGACATTCAGGGCTTCTGGGATACATTCCAGATGTGGCCAGTGAAGCAATCACCTGTGGACTTGAAGGATCCGAATTCTAGGTCCTAAGCGGTGGTGTTTGGACGTAGAAAAAAGGAACCCTGCAAAATGGCTTGAGCTTCCCTCGTCTTTGATGCGCGATCCAGATATGCAAACACTGCTTGAACGCCAAACACTCAACCAAAGGGCGCCTGCTGGACGTTGCACCAGGGCTGGAAGTAGGCGGCAAATCCCGTTTGTTTGCATCAGCAAGGGAGACAACCAAACTAAAATGGGGAGCTTGTGCGTCTACTTTCTCCCAACTAATCATCCAGAACAAAGGGGATGATGCTTCTTTGCCCAGCAACCGCTATTAAGTTCCCCACCCCCCTTCCGAGGCGAGTTAGGTACTGACCGAAGAGATGACCCGCCTAAGAGGGATGACCATGTTGCGGGGCGACGCAACCCCGTCCCATCTCGAAAGAGCAAAGAACCCTTATGAAACAAGACGTGGGCCGTGGTCGATTTTGATGGTCCTCTTTTTTTAGGGTAGTTTTGAAGGACAACAACCAATTGTAAGCGCCCCCTATTTTGGGTTTATCTTCAACCAAACCAAAAGCTTGGTCCATGAGGTAATTACTCCAACATGCGCTCTGATTCTGTTCCACACGACCCAAGAGGGGGCCCTGGTGGACGTCAGTGCCCATCCACTTTTGAGGTTCAACTCTGAAAGTTCATAAAGCCAATATCAAACCGTCATTCCAATAAGTGGTGTAGCACTTTGAAGGGGGATCTACAGAAATTGGGCCTAAGAAATGTTGGCCCCAAGAAAGATTGGTTTCACAGAAACCTTGGACTCTCTTGATGTCTGGATAAAAAAAAATTGGCCCGAGAGGACCCCGCAAGTTTGGAGACCCAGGGCCCGACATTCTCCGCGGGGAAGTGGCGGGACAGGCCCACGGCCTCGAAATCGATTCGAAGCCCAGGCTCTGAGGTGACTTTGCCGAGATGAGTGGAACCACCGGTGCTTTTCGGAAAAACGGTGGTTATGGGTGGTTTAAAGGCGGTTCAAAGGTGGCTTAATGGTTTCAAGGTGGTTTCAACTATCATGTTCTTGTTTGCTTTCCGGGCGAAAACCCGGGGACCCAAACGTACTTTGCCAAATAGGGGGCCCCTCGGTGGGCAACAAAATTCGGTAGGGATTCATGTCCACCAACTTGTGAGGTGGCTCCCTGATCAATTTCGTTCCCATTTGGGGTTCGGCCTCTGTGGATGGAGTCGGGAGTCAGGATCCCGTTCGTTTCGTCGGAAGCTCAGATCGCCGAGCATTTTGGTTGAGCCTCCCAACGAAAGTTGGAAAAATGGCTTGCTGAAGCAACTGGGCGCATCTCAAAATGGAAGTTCGGAGTCCCAAAGCCATTTTCTGCAAGTGAAATCCGTTTGCCCTGGGAAAAAAACACCCAAAGGTTTGCCAAAGGGTCTGAGCTAACACCCAAGTCCTAAGTGGAGCAAAGATTCACAACCTCCCAGGCCTCAGGTGAGGTGCCACGGAACTCCTTTGACCCAAAACCTGAAGCGAAGGGGAAGCTCCTAGGGTTTCAAGGGGCCCAAACTCGAAGTGGATGGCGATCGCTAAAGCTTGTTGCTCAAGTCCAGAGCTTAGGGAGTCGAGGGAGAGAGGGAGGGAGCTCAAAGGCCTCATTTTGGCCTCCCCCCTCCCACCACCCCAGCCCCCAGGAAGGGAGTGAGAGATGCTGAAAAGCCGTAAAGTGTCCAGAAGGACTCGGCTCGCTCCGGGCAGGTGCATGGTGCATACGGCCGGCCATAGGAGCGGGACCCTGAAAATGGGGCGGTGTCCTTTTGGTTGCCACCAGCGTCAAAGAGGGTTCCCAAAAACACCTTCTCCCTCTCTCTCTCTCTCTCTCTCTCTCTCTCTCTCTTCCAGGTTGCCACGCGTTCAAGTGCGGCAGGATGCAGCTGTCGCGGAAGCCAATGGACACGATAAACCTCGTTCACATCAAAGCCTGGAGGCTTTGGGGGTCTACCCGAATATGTAAAGAATTCAAAAAGGGAGAACATCCGCAGTTCAAATTATTCTGGTTTGGATGTCCATGGGGTTGGTGGGACAATTCCACGAATTGATACTTGGAAGTGAAAAGCGGCGTGCGTCTGTTGTTTTATCAAAGGCACACAAAACACATCTGAATTGAATGCATCTATGTATACAATATATACATACGTATGGGTGTGTCGTGTTTTTCTTTCCGCCCCAACTAAATGGTCATGTTCATTTCGACATCCCTTGAAAACAAGGGGCGCCAACTCCAAAAAACAAGACAGACCCTTAAAAAACGTTTGCGCGCAAGGCCAAACACCGCTGCAGGCAGTCTACGAACGTTCGGAGATACCCATGAGATCCATGGCCTAAGTCCCGACCTTTGGGCTGTCGCCATGTTCGGGGGGGTGCAATGGACATCTGCTGTTTCCTGGACACTGCCACTCCAATCAAATAAGTCCGGACTCTGTTCCATCGTCAGCACCAGAGCACATCCTTTTGCAGGAGATGTTCAAAAAGTGTCAAACCCCCCTTTTGGAAGAGTTGAATGATATGTGGCAACAGTGACGGTGTTAGTCGCACGACTCCGAGGCCATTTGTCACGACCCCAAGCGACACTCCAGCGACGAATGCAGCTGGGCCGCAGCTCGCAACCCGCGTCCGCCAGGGCCTAGCCAAAGGCTTCCGAGAAACTGGGCCCGGCGCTTTCGCTGGGCAAAATCCGCCCCTTTTTGGAGCGTGTTTCACGGGACACCCGTTAAGGAAAAACGAAATTCCTTGGCCGTTTCTTGGGATAACCCCTTGTGTTAGGACACCAAAAGACCAATTCACGGCTTCTGGTACACCAAAGGTTCAAAAGAACTGAGCCTGTAACGGGACACAAGGAGAACCGAAATCCCTGTTGTGGATTAGGTAAGGGAGGGGTTTTCCATTTACCCTCTACCAGAACCAGGAGTTCAAATCCAAATCCAAACTACCAATCCAAACGCGTCGGCAACCCCACGATTCCCCAGAGCTCCTGTGGCTGAGCTAACAATCGCCCATAAGATCTTGCTAGACAAAAGGCGATACCCTTTAGGGTTTACTAAAACCTGGCAACTCACAAGGTCAGCGAAGTAGTCGGGGTGCTTTGGTTGCAAGTGAGTTTTCTGCAAAATTACAGTTCCCCAGGCAAACCTTTTTGTGGACAGCGTCTACATGCGGATTTGCGTCCACTCAGCTACACACAAAACAAATGTTCACGTGGTATTGTTTGGTCTTTCTACCCAAGTATAAGCATCAGCTCGGAGAACACCCGGAAACCAAACCAATGTTCCACCCTCTTGGTTTGCTCAATCCGAAAAGGCTCGTTTCGAAAGAAGATAGCTTCATCGCTGGTGGCTCAATCCCCTCAAAGTGCATTTAACTTCTTGTAAGCGAGTCCGTAGGAAATGTCAAATTGCGCCTTGAGGACGTACACGTTCTCCGTGTCAGTCGAGCTGCCATGATTGTGGGCGACAAGCCAGCTCATGCGTGCGATACTGTCGCATAGGCTATGTCACCGCAATGAGCTTCCTCATGTCCCCGTGCAGCATTTGGATCTTGTCCGTACCATCCTGTGTGTAGAGCTCCACCTGTTCCTTTGTCAACAGCATCTGAGTTCTGTGCTCGGAAATCTCAGCTGTGGAGCTGTTGTAGGGACTTGTGAACTCAGCTTCCCAGCCCATGTTAGCACCAGATAAGTTCAACAAGTGGCCGCGGTGGTCAAAACCAATGGGATCCCATTTTGGGGTAGGTGAATTCACCACCCATTTTGGTCTATTATAGTGGGGATTGGGATGTTCACTGGGAGTACGATTTGGATTTTGACCCATGGCCAAGTCGATTTCGCTCCAAGCCAATCCCGGCAAAAACTGGGCCCCCTCTCCCGTCGGCTGGGACTCGGAAAAAATCGCCTTCAGCACCTCCCCCATGCGCTGCAGACGCTGGCGCCCACCAAAGTTGGCGAGGATCTCCTGACCGAATCAGATTCCGCCGTTGGTGGAGCATGGGTCGGCCCGGTTGCTGTTCGGTGTCCCTTCAAAACAAAAAACAAACAGTACCCCTCAACCAACTTGGATGTTTAACCCACTTTGTCGGTTATAGGCATCGTTATAAAGACCACTAACCAGCCAGCGATGCTTCGTTTCCTTTCACTCACTTCCGATCAAGTGGATTGGCCAAGAACACCAAACCAACCTGTTTACTTAAAAACAATGGTCCAGACCCACAAAGTGAATTCAGTCCGAAACAGAACTCAGGGAGTGACTTTTGGGGCATTTCCAGGTTCCCGAAACACCTCAATGTCAACGTGGGACTCCGGGCCATGCGCGGCAGGGGCCACAACAACATGTTTACTGCCCTTCAGTCAGACAAGAGTTGTATGCTTCTTGGCTGTTTTGAAAAGACATTGTCGGGTCAGTCGCGGATCGAATTGACACGCATGTGCTGTGTGGCAGGCGTGGGACGGTCAATTAGCACGCCCTTTTAAAGGTGAAATAAATAATAAAAGGCTTCCCAGGTCCTATATTGACTGCTCACCCCCGCAGAGCTCTTGCTGAAGGTCCTCCGCTTGAATCCGAACTTAAGATTAGGGAATCACGGGCTTCGGGGGTGTGAGCCGGATATTTTTGCAAAAAGACACAAGTTGGGTGGTGGGTCATTCCCTCATTCCCTGCTTCAGCAAGCTCTATTGTTTGCTGATTTCGAGGCATAGCAGGGGGTATTAGTCATTCCTAAGGCTCCCCTGCGGGTTGGCTCTGAATAAATATTCGACAATGGGTCCAAGTTGCCGCTTTTTTGGGGGCATGGTTGAAGGAAAGGGAAACAAAGGATTGGCTCCTTTCTCTTGGTAGATAAGTTCAAAAGGGGAACCCCCCGCAAAAATACCAACCTGGGCAGGTATCCCCAACAGTGACGGGACCCTTTACTTTTCCGGGCTCCAACCACGCCTATCTGGGCCTATGGGTTTCGGCTGGCTTCAGCCCAATGACCGGCAGCTGACAACATGGTTGGCTTCCTCTTGGTGTCTCAAACCAACCCAAAAAGGATACCCCAAAGAAAATCACATCCCCAGTTGGGTTGGCTTCCTCTTGGTTTCCCCTTAAACCCCGAAAAAGGGGGACCCTCCCTCAATGGCTGCGGCCAAAACCCGTTACAACGTCTTGTATAGTCCTTATTACCCGTCTTAAAACTGCTAGTAGATCCAACCTTTTTGGAACAGCAGCAAGGCACGGCCTGTGCCGAAAGTAGAACCTACCAAAATGGGCTGTCCTGAGATCCTCCGCTAAAAGAACATAACTGCTAGTCGGTTAGATAATAAAAACCCTACCACTCAACCAACTTTAAAAAAAGGAACCGGTCTGGGAACGACGGACCGGCCGAAACCTTTGCGAACCTCGGCTTGATCTCCGCGCCTGCGGCGTCATGGCCCCGAAGATCTCCGGCGTGTCCGCCACCGCGTGCCTGGCGCGTGGCGGCTCGCGCAGGGCGGCTCGCGGGCGGCGCGGCTCGCCCCAAACCCGCCGTGGGTCTGGCAGGCTTTGGGTTCGCCCTGGCCTTGGAAGCAAACACCAAGAAAAAGAGGTAGCCTCGCAAAAGGCCGTTTCCGGAGGCCCGCAGAGAAAGTCTCACTTCCGATCGAGTGGACTGGCCAAAGAAAGTGTAAACCTTTTGTTTACCACCAAAATGGTGCAAACCCGAAAAGTGACTAAAGTCCGATCAACTCAGGGAGTGAGTATGGTGAGTAACAATCAGTCCGCTTACCCAACCAATAGGTACAGTTTTCACACAAATAGGAAGATGTCCACCAGCAAAATAGGTGGGACATCTCAATTGAGGGTTCATGTGCTAGGCAATTGTTAATACTATGCTTGGATGTTCAACCCCCGCTTGAAATCCGCCCAAAACGGTTACGCCGACCCCCCCCCCCCCCACAAAAAACGGGGGAAAAACTAAAAATGGAACCGGGATGGTGTCCCATTTACCCACAGCGACCAGGGCTTCAAATCCAATCCAGTTCCCAACAATCCACACCACCAACTCGATTGACCAGTCTGAAAGCCACCCCTGTTGGGGGAACTAAGGGTGTGTCGTTTTTAAGATTTGGCCCCCAACATGGCACAGCGGTTCTCCTTGTGGTCTCCCTTTAAAGCCACAAAAATCGTACCCTCAACGTCTCAGATTCAAGCTTTCTGCGTATCTCCTGTCTAACGTTCAGTCGGTGCGAAACGCACCGTTTCCGCCTGTGAAATCGTGGGATCTTGATGGGAGTCGTCCTGAGCAAGCGTGCCAACTGAAAAGCGCCCACACTCCTGTCGCCCACTTGGCCCACATCTGTGCCCTCTTTTGGGAGCGTGGCAGTGTGGGCACATCCAAGAACAATCCTTGCGTTTCTCACTTTGTGAGTGGACTGGCCAAAAAGTCTACACTTTTTGTTTGACACTAAACCAGTCGCAACGAGAAGTGACTAAAGACCAGGAAGCAAACCAACCAAGCAAAATTGTCAAAGCAGCTCGAATTGCTTGACACGCCGTGTGGCCTCGGTGCAGGCAAGTATCATCGTGGAGTCAAAATCGAAGAACACGCCCCGCTTCGCAGGGGGGCGCGCATGTTGCAAAGGCAGGCCCATGTTGCGCACTCAGCACGTGGGCAAGTGGTGAACCCAACTCACATAGAGTTGGGTCGAGTTCGTGCTGCTGGCTCCACAGACGCTTGGGATATCAGAAATACATTCATGGATTTATGTCCAAGCATGCTGGACTCTCCAACTATTGGAATTCATAGCATGTGTCCGAAACTCTCTCACAAGCAGCCCAGCAAGTGAATGCAAGTGAGGCACTCGCGCCAGCTTGCTCATGTGGCTATGGAACCTCCAACTGGGGCTTCCTTTCAACACCCCAAAGCCTACGAGCCATCTCCGAAAAAGGCGGACGGGAGACAAAAAAGTGGGAAGGAAGGCAAGTGATCACCTGAGATCCCAACGAAGAGGTCAGGCTTGTGCTGAGATTTGGACGTACATGGTCATATCGCTTCGCACTTTTCGAGCCAAGGGCAGAATAAAATGGCAGCAACATCCCAGGTGATGCTCTCAAGTCACAACAACGCGGCCCGAAATATTCGACAAACAAATGCTCAAGCACCGCTCTGGGTCTCGCGGGTTTCCCCCTTGTTTGTTCCATGCGGATCTATTCTCATTGCTCGAATCCGCTCCAACCTATCTTCACATGTTGCAACATGTCCGAAACTGGAAATCAGGAAATTGCGAGAAAGGCATCTTCATCGGGTGAGCTTGTCTTATCCCCGGCAAGCTTGCGGTGTGTCTTTCTCTAAGGTACCCTTTTGGGTGGGGGGGGGGGTAAACAGGAAGGAGGAGCACCACCATGTAGGGGGTACCCCTGATTGAGACAAACCCATGCTGGGTTATGCGTCAAATCGGCTTTCAGGCGCCATGGACGCGCAGCGACGTTTTCACAGCTGGGCCCTCAAAAATAAGTGGTTTCCCTTTGGCTTCCCTCAAACCAAGGTACCCTTAAAAAGACACACCCAGTTTACCTTATAGCAAAGCGTTTTAGCTGAAGCTGCCACTGAAGCTGAGGTAGCCGAGAGGCTGAATGCGCGTCTCTTAGACTGATATAGGGAGAAAAACACGGCGCCTTGTGCCTCGACTAAAATGGCGAAAACACCAAAACATGAGAAGTTTGTCCACTCACCATGGAAGAGTTGAAGTCGCTGCAACCCACAGGATCTCTACCTGCGCAGGGTCCCCTAGACAGGAAAATTTGGTCTTCCAAGAACTCCTGTGCAAGTCCTATGCTTGCTTTTGGGAGGGGAAGCCGTGCTAATATGTCACCTCAGGGGCGAAATGCGCTTTCAACCGGAACACAAGGTGATGATCACATCCAAAACCCCCAACCGACAAAGAAACAACACACTCACAGCTCACGGCCGCAGGAAGGATAAGCACCCGGAAACAGGGACCCAGAAAACATAGAATCACCCGATCTCAAGACTTGTCCAGGCTTGTTTCTGGGGCTCATACAGTTTGATTTCTGGGGCCCTCTGTCCGGACCCTATGAAGCGGGACTTGCGTAGGTTGAGGGCCAGGGGAAACCTCTTGTCCGCTTCGCTCCAATTGGTGGTGAGGCCCCTTGGTTTGGAGGTCTGCATTTTGCATTCGCGTTGTGGCCGTGTCCAAACTGGTGGCACCAGACGAACCGCGTCCCATTTGAAGAGAACCCAAATCACCTCGCCCGCAAGGTTCTACTTGAATCTAACCCACGAGCTTCTACCTACATCTGCCAGTATGTCCTCCCCATATTTCCCTTTTGCCCACCCCCAAGGGAAGTTCACTTCACGGCTGAAGGGTGATGGTTCCCAGGGGAGACATGTGGCGACCTCGGTTGAAACCTCCCCCAAATTGGCCCACTGGGGTATTCAAAAGCAAAACCAAACATTTGATCCCGAGTCATTCAAAAACAAAACTAAACATTCTGTTTGAGTCTACCCTTATATATATATATATATATGCATATATATATATATATATATATATATATGTGTGTGCAGGCATATAGCTTTGGAGGCGACCCCGGATATGGGTATGTCTTTGAGGGTATCCTGTGCAAACATGGTCTCACTTCCTGAGTTGATTGGCCAGAACAAGTCCGAACTTGTTGTTTACCACGGATATGGTCCAAACCCAAAAGTGACTCAAGTCCAGGAACTCGGCGAGTGAGTTGATAAGTCTACCCTTCTGTTTCTCATTTTGGAGGACCCCAGATATCCCAACAAAGTATCCTTTCAACTGGCCCAGACTTAGACATGCAAAAGTTTCTATTGTGCTGCTGAAAACAGGCAAGCAGTAGGAAACAACTTCCTTTTAATGAACCTCTAAACTTGCTGGTGGTCTGAAGCGAGTAAGGGAATGACCCTATAAACCATCCAAGAGTGGTTTCCTTTAAGGGGACCCAAGCCTGGGTTCATTCCATTTCTCATTCCCTACCGAGATCGCACCAGCCAGCCTTTCGATTCCAAGCGTTGAGAGACACATCGCGGTAAAGCCAAAAAGGCGACGCACCGCGAAGTCTCGCGCGGTCGCCTCGCGAAAAACCCCGAGGCTCGGGCCGGCGAGCGCCAGGCCCTGCCGCGCTGCCACCAGCGGGGCGCGCCAGCTGTTGGCCCAGCCCCGGGCCTCGCAAGCTGATGGCTCCACGTCCCATGGAGGGGAGTTTGGCCCAGCAAAAAGTAGGGCAAACGGTCTAAGTGACCATCCATCTCCTGAGGCCCCTGAAAAAAGCGGGAAGACATGTGCAGTAGTAACTTCGCTTTTGAACCAGCAGGGGAACATCTATGCTTAAGCAAATGGAAGTTGCCGCTAAAAAGGTCCCAGCATGTCCAAGCCCAGAAAACTAACATCCAGTGCCGCGAAAATGGCCCAAGCCAAAAAAGTTCAAGTCCAGGAGCTCAGGGACTGAGTTTTTGAGTTGGTTTTACTGGGAAACCAAAAGGACGCGGCCATTTTGGGGCACCCACATCCACCAACCCATTTTTGAAGAAGTATCTTTGAAGAACCAATGAGAAGGTTCATGGTCAGGAGCCCAACTAAAGTAGGGCTAGCCTTCAACGGCGGCAACCTCCTTCTCACGCACGCCTGTTCATCGCTGCGTCCTGCGGCCCTGTCAAACTTGGAGGTGCATCTTCGAAATCATCCTCAGTTTGACTAAGCTCTACCAATTGATCAAGTGAGCTTCGGCAAATCTGCCAGAGAGGTCACCGGGACTTCAACCAAGAAGTCAATCACTTTCTCCACCAGCACTGGCAAGGCTGGCCCGCGAGAAAGCTTGGCCATTGCTTGCAGCAGCGCCACGCCCTTCTCCCTGCCTTCAAGCCTCCGTGACCGGATGAAAGCTGCGCGAGCTGCTGCTGCGGCGGCCGACCTGCGCTCACTTTCCGTGGCCAGATCCAAGGTTTCCGTGGCCAGATCCAAGGGCGGGGCGCGCCGGCTGTTGGCCCAGCCCCGGGCCTCGCGAGCTGATGGCTCCACGTCCCATGGAGGGGAGTTTGGCCCAGCAAAAAGTAGGGCAAACGGTCTAAGTGACCATCCATCTCCTGAGGCCCCTGAAAAAAGCGGGAAGACATGTGCAGTAGTAACTTCGCTTTTGAACCAGCAGGGGAACATCTATGCTTAAGCAAATGGAAGTTGCCGCTAAAAAGGTCCCAGCATGTCCAAGCCCAGAAAACTAACGTCCAGTGCGGCGAAAATGGCCCAAGCCAAAAAAGTTCAAGTCCAGGAGCTCAGGGACAGAGTTTTTGAGTTGGTTTTACTGGGAAACCAAAAGGACACGGCCATTTTGGGGCACCCACATCCACCAACCCATTTTTGAAGAAGTATCTTTGAAGAACCAACGAGAAGGTTCATGGTCAGGAGCCCAACTAAAGCAGGGCTAGCCTTCAACGGCGGCAACCTCCTTCTCACGCACGCCTGTTGGCGTGGATGTCGAGCCACCTGGCAGATGAAGCGGCAAAGGTCCTGGTCAAGCGACTCCACGCCAAGCGCAGCACACATCTCAGCACAGTCTGGCTGCCCGCACAGAACTGCAGCCTGTAACAAGTTCCAGTGATACCCAAACCCTGGAAGATTGAAATGCGTCAAAGGAAGTCCTGCCATTGCTGCGCGTTTGAGCAAGCTGTGGGAAATGCAATGCCCCCTTGAAGAGACCTCCAGCATTGCCTCTACTAAGCGGTTGGGCTTCTCTGGAACCCATGGGCTTTTGCCTCCCAAGAGTCCAGCGAAATCTGACCACGGCCATGTTGTCAACAGAACCACAGCTTCTCGCAATGGCAGCAACCCCCAACCGCTGACCACAAGCAATTGTAGGTCGGCGCCAGCTGATAGAGCTGCAATCAAGATGCGGGGCTCAACAAGCGGTGCATTTGCGCGCATGTTGAATAAATCCTGAGACCTCCACCGGCGCAGGGGCCAAAGCTTGGCGCCAGCGAGGGACAGGGCTGCCTCCTTATTCCCAGTGAGGATGGCGATGTCCAAAAGGCGCGCCGTGGCCGCGTCCGACACCTTTCTTGCCCAAGAGGAAAGGACTTCGGCCCATGTTGCAAGTTGACTTCGAAAGGCGAACCCGGTTTAAATCCCGCCCGCAAAC